CGCGACCCTGGCAGGACTCGAACCTGCAATCTTCGGATCCGAAGTCCGACGCCTTATCCATTAGGCCACAAGGCCACCCACGGACATATTTCGAATGAAATTCTGTGAAGTAACCATATTTTCAGTGACGGCAGGATCCCGTGAAAAATGTCTTTCAATTCAGGCAGAAGTTGAAATTGTAGTTTAACATGAATGGAGGAATGGTTTATTCGTCTAGCGTTTTGACGTCTTCGTCTTCCGAAACCCACAGAAAGAAGAGGAAGAAGGTGAAACATTAGACCAATGAACCATTTTATCAACTTAGTGTTAGCTTAGTAGTTTGGGATACAATGAATCATTTAATCTATGTGCTATGTCTCAATTCAGAAAAGGTATAAATGCGTTTATGGAACCCATGCATCTGGCAGGTCGCTTTTGGTGCAGTGGTTGGGGCGCTCTGTAACACATACGTTTAATCGGTCTCCGCACCCATGGCCCACCAAGGCTTCCATCGCTCCGGTGTCGGCAAATTAGTACTAGACCAACGTGGGTGGATAGCAGCACTGGCTTGATACATCGGCAGGTCACCGCTAGGTATTGTAAAGGCCTCCAAAAGATACTTAATGAAAACGGATGCAAAGCACTTCCTTAATGAGTCGATCAACTCCTAGAGCTTTATCCTTTTATCCTTTATTTCCTCTGCTTGCTTATGGAGGTGCTTGGCTTGGTGGACTGCTGTGAAGGTGAGCTTTCCAGTATCTGAAAATGGCAAAATCCGCCGAAACGTCAGCTTTGCCGTAAATAAAGAATAAAGCATCAACTAGTGACTTTTTTTATTTACTGCCTTTTAGACGTTTTCACGTCTGGGTTTTATTTGTGAAGCAGCCACAATGATGCTGAGATGTTTGCAAAACACCGGACCACAGGTGTCTGCGGTAGGGAGCGAATATGCTGTTACCCTTTCCTAGTGCTATGCTTTTAATTAAGTTCATGTTCATTCCCTACCGCAGACACCTGCGATCCGGAGTTTTGCAAACATCTCAGCGTCATTGTGGTTGCAGAACCTAATGTTTCTTCATCAAAAGTGTGGTGAATTATATTCTATGTTACCACAGTTCACTGATATTTCATTTTTTTAAAGATGTGGTTACGTGTTGTAGAAGATTCCATCGATTTGTTCTTCGATGGACGAATGGAGATATGGCAATGCTCCGTTCTCCACCACATGGCGGTATTACGGAAGATACAAACCAGAAGGCAGTAATTCGGAGAATCAAAATTTGATCCACTACCTGGATGAACAACGGAGTCCAGGAAACCACGCGTTCACATAATTTTCTACTGAATAATATTCTGTGTTGTTAAGCAGCACAGTCCTCCTTTTGCGTGCGTGCGTGCGTGCGTGCGTGCGTGTGTGCGCGTATGTGTGTCTGTGTATGTGCTTCTTGTTTTTCTGATGTGCTTTGTTTTTTCAGTAAATGTTTCTTCCCAGCTATATTTTGTTACTCGCGAAAGTCAATGGAGCAATAAAGGCGAGTTTCTAAGCATACAATGGCATTTGAGCGAATATGAGCTGAAATCGATTTAAAAACTTTTCAAAGTGTAGAGTTTAGTGATGGAAAATAATACATTTTTAATTTCATCTACATCCATGGAGATCAACATTTCTTGTTGAAGTTCTTCGCCAAGCAGCAATAACCGTGACCATCCGCTTTGCGCCGAAGGCAGAAGTGATGTGGAGGACACCGCTTTCTTGACGAGCAAAATACTCTCTGGCTATCTGAACACATCATGTTCAGCAATTTTTAATACGATACTTTATGCTAGTTCTATTATTATTTCATTAGAGGACCTAATTCTTCATTTTTTTCTGATTCAAAACTATTTTTAAAATAGAATCCTAAAACCGTAAAGGTAACCTATGCCTTGCATCTCTACTCCCGTATGTGCGCTATGAATCGTTTTACTGTATTTTACGATTTTAACTTTCCTCTCGAGCACTTAATTGGTGTTGTCTATAAAAAGAGAAGACAAAGCTTCCGCCTTTGATTAATCTCTGAGTGATGCGCCCTATATTCCTCTTCACCAAGCTTCGCAGAAGTGACTGAATACATCTCTGGCCTACACATTGACTAGCGATAGCCTACTGATGTATAACCTCGGCTACACAAGTTTGCTACAAACTATTACTCCAGAAGGAACGGAATCCTGCTTGACGGCATAGTAAGGGCGAAATCAGGACCTTGCGCGTAGTTCACGCCATCGCTGCCACTGCGCTGTTTCCATTGATAGGCCGCATTGATTTCCAATATCACATCGCATCTACAGTCGAATGCATAGCGTTTCTTAAGGGACTTATCAACGCCGAACTTTTTATGTCCTTAAGTTGTACTGAAGTTAAAATTGTGGTTTGCATAACTCCTGAAATTGTTCAGCTTACACGAGGTTGATATATAAATTTTATTCGGCTAACGTTTCGACATTTTCGTCTCCCTAGGAGCCAATTATCCCAGTTGATGTTAACAGTCGTTTCCAGCAGTCGTGCGTCTTCTGGTTATTGTACCTTTGTCATTGTAGAGTCGAATCTTCTTTAATGGAGTACCGTTCAAATGAATGCAACCTTACCGGCAACGTTCCTTTAAACAAGCCGATTGTTCATTCATTGCCGACTGACAATGCTTTCCTTTCATGTCGACAATCCATCCTACAGCAGTCAGTATTAGAATGGCTACCACATAGCGAATAGAACCGTTACTAAACCGGCTTTCATTTAACCTCATTCTAAATAGTCAGTTTAGTCCTTTGAATTATTCAATTTACACTTGGCTGCTATATAAGTTTTATTCGGCTGACGTTTTAACGTCTTCGTCTTCCTCAGAGCCAATTACCCGAGGCGACGTCCACGGTCGTTCGCATTCTCGATATGGTGTCCTCGTCATCCCATTGGGTTGACTATATTATTTTGGTTTGTACTCTGTAGAATAGATCATTCTGTGTTCAACAAGATTAAAACATTAAACAAGATTTTACCCCGAATTTCGTCATTCATAAGTGCAACATCGAACTGAGCACATCAAGTCTATTGTCTAGCACTGTGTGTTCGCTTGATAACCAGTCCACATTTCGAAGCATGGGAATTCCGTACTGCATTTTTACGAAAATCACCGAAGTAAAAATTGTTCTTCAACGTTTTTTAATTTAAAGTAAAGCTTTTCTTTGAGGACGAGTGGCACGCCTTAGTCCACCGCTTCTTTTTACTGTAACCAAGTTCTCTGTTTCTCTAGAAACACTGAGTTTATAGCAAATTAGAACAAGTAGCTTAAAAGACTGATTTCTCCTTCTCCTGACCCTCACCAATTTCCTGAAAACCGAAACTCTACTTGTTCGCACCCTCTGTGAATATTCATAATTTGCGCACAAAGGTGAGATCGTGAAGATGACTCAATACATGTCTGACCCTCTATATCATGTTGGGATTTTTCTCAAACAATTCTGCTACCGTTTTTCACACACCGGAAAGATCAAAGGTTTTGTTACCCTGTGGAGGAAAGCGGGTCGAAAAAAAACCATCTTTGTGTTTCAGCGCACATCTAAGCAAACCGCTACTTACGTCTAGCACAACATAATTACTTACTTACCTGGATAATTGAACGACCCGTCCTTACTGGTTATACGAGCCCCAGCATAATTTCCGTTTTTTTTGAGTTTCGCTGCTCTAGTCTCTGTGGTTCCCTGGAGTTCCGACGTCAGCCTGGCCAAAGTTTGTTCCAATTCGTCACCACCATAGGTAGTCGTCGTCCATATGGATCAGAGTGAGATTTGCCACCATGCGACTAGCTTGATATTAAGACGTTGGTAGATCGTGGTATTGGTTTAATCTTGGCTGGGCTGACTAATTGAAACGCCGGACTCCTTCTTAGCCTGGGTAAACACTGTCGAGTAGATGAATCTCCCCGCTGTACATCTTAGCCCCACACCAAGGAAAACCTCCCACCCATGATGAGGAGGTAAACCGTTGGAAGGATAATATAATTAAGTTCAATAAAACGATTTGTAGCCGCTTGAAAAAGGTTCAAGAAAAAAATATGCTTAGAATGCTACACAAATATAAAAGCGTTTTCATGAGAAAAAAGTGATTTTAGTTACCTTCGTGTACTGCCAATGGAAAATCCTTGAAAGTGCTTATCTTCAAGCGTTCCCTCCTGCAACACACAAGCATAGAAGAAAATGAATGATTTGTGGCTAGTTTCTATATGAACAGATTTTACGGAAAAAAGAAACCTTTTTAAATTGTCAGAGAAAAGACAGATGGAATTAGCGGCAGCAGCAGAGGAGCAGAATCGTGGGTGGACTGAAGTACATTCAGCATCGGTAAATAACCCATGCTGCAACACAAACGTCGGTGTGCAGGCTGAAAACCTCAAAGAAGCGTGGTTTTTTTCTGATATGCAACCAATTTGGAAGCTTACCGGATTGCACGATTCTGCAACAAATCCCGGATTTAATAATTTCCGGTTGATGGCAATAGGCTCCATCAGGACAGTGATGATCGGAGAGACATCCGAAAGGATCTCCTGTTCGCAGACGGATAGTTCGCATACCGGATGGGCAGGACACTAAGAAATCTGACTTTTGTCTCTCCATAAGGTTAATAATGAAAATTGATTCTAAAGCACGTTTACGACGTACTATTCTTTTGCGCATCTCCACAGCAGTAGTGTTGCTTCCTTCCCCTATGGAAGAGACAATGAAAGCCAAGAGGACACACGCCGTGATGTCCCATAAGGCACGTCATGGGACGAAATGTGTACTGGGAGAGAAAAGGGCGCAAGCCATTCGGACACACGTCTGAAGCACGAAGGTTGGAAATCAAATTCTTAAGAACTCACCACTGGACCAAAAGCTCACAGAGCACTTTAACGCGCTTTTAGTTTCTTATAGCTAACATTTTGCTAACTTCTTCTTCAAGGACTCGAGGACGGCGCGTTATTATATAGCCTTATGGAAACTCTAAGCACAAACATCAGGAGTAATATGAAGCTTTTTGTTGACCACTTTTTAGAGAATGAGACTACCCGTACTGTCCTAATCTCCCCACAAATGAAGGTTATACTGAAAGAAGCAATTCAACACACTGTGCCAGGTGACAATGGGACATTCATCTTTTCGAACCATTCTTTGGTTTAGAAGTTTATTCAGAACGTCGCGAGAGCCTTATACGCTAATAAATTTCTTGAGTCCTATGTAAGAGTCGTAACCTTAATTTCAAAATCACTACAGTGCACCTCTACATCCTATTCACACCTAGTGGAGCCCTTCGACAGATTCCAACTTTTCCATTTTTATATGGTCACTTGTCCTGCCGTCTCGCTAATTTGTTTATCTCTGCCGAACTTACAAGAAGCTAGAATACAGCATCCAAATGTCTAATGTCTCCAGTTCCGTTGTAGTACAATATTGTGTTGTACATATATACTCGTATATTCAGTTTTGAGCCAAATGACCTCTTTGAGTTCTCAATGGCAACTTAATTGCTGCCGCAATTCTGTACTGAAGCTCTGCTTAGGCCTCGATCAAGCGGTAGCACTGGTTATTTGCTAGAAGTGAACAACAACTTAAACGAGGTCTTATTTGCAATAGAATGACTGTTTATAGACATGACTACTTCTCTAAACCTAGTTTGTGAAGTCGTTTTTTCGTAGCCATTTGATGCGGATTTTTGCTACACTTACTCAACTTACTCTTTCATGACCCCTCTACGTCTACACGCCTTTGCAGCGGTTTAACTTCGTTTTGAAGTACCAGTCTACATCACAACATCAAGTGATTGAAAGAATGGGCCTTCGTGCTTGACAAAGATGTTAAAAGTCGATGAGGTTGATGTAAAAATAATCGGCTAACGTTTCGACGTCTCTGTATTTTTCAGAGTCGGTTTTATTTGACTTGATAGTCCACAGGTGGTCGTCGTCGCGATATGGATGTTCGTTATCACAGTGAATCGAATCCAATGAAGTGGACCAGTGATCGAATGAAAAACCTCACCGAGACTCCATAGGAAAACGAACATCCACATCGTGGCGTCTACCTCTTGTGGACCACCGACTCAAAACAGTTCGGTTCTGAAGAAGACAACGAGGCCGGAAAGTTAACCAAATAAATACTTTTATATCAGTCACCTGTCAGATCAGTAACCCAAGAAACCTCTCATTAACTATTCTGAGGTCAAATAAAAGTCGGTCTTTAGAGACAATAACATTTTTGAGGAGTGGTGCCAGATGTTTCGCCCATTATCTATCACCTCTCTGACAATCACTATGACTGTTAAAGAAAAGTGTGCTTATGTTAAGCAATAGCGTGTTGTATTTAGTTGAGTCGTTGCTGCTGACAGAAACACGACAACGATTTCTTGAACACGCTTTGTTTTCCAAGAACTTCTTTAGCTTCACCAAAGATCTATGACTAGCGTGTTAAAATAATTAGATCGTTCCGACCCGCTACACCATTTCCGTTCCCCTTTCTAATAAATGGTACCAATGTAATAAAAAGAAAATAAAATAGGTTATAATGACCATAACTGGGTGTACCACAGCACACCATCCTCGTCCTATTCCAAACGTCAGGAAGACATGAGTAGCCAGAAGGACAAGGTTCTGTCAAACATTCAACTGGAGTACCCGACAACGACGACAATAATACGTATTCCGACGACGAACAAGCTAAACATTATAATTTTTAGACATGCAGAATTTAATAGAAGCAAGATGGAAGCAGAAATACTCATTTAAGGTAGTTTCTTGGCTATTTTGAAGGAGTTTTCTTTCTTTTAGATTTGACCTGTTTAGGAAAACAACTTTAATTCATTTACCATATCACTGACTTAGGAGCGCGTGTGGCGCAGTGGTCGGAGGTGCCTTGCCACACATACATGAGATCGATCCCGGCGCCTATAGCCATCCAAGCCTTCCATCCCTATAGGTTCGGCAAATTAGTACCAGGCTCGTGCGGAAGGATAGCAGCACTGGCTCGATACATCGGTAGGCCACCGCTAGTCATTGTAAAGGCCAGATATTCATTCTTTCACCTCCAAACGTTGCTTAATGAAGTCGAATGCATGGCGCATCCCTCAAAGATTGATCAACGCCGAGAGCTTTATCCTTTTGTCCTTTGTTTCGCCTGCTTGCTTATGAACGTGCTTGGTTTTATCCTTCTATTATCAGTGATTTAGTTATCTAAAAATTGCACGATAGCTTCTTGCGCATCCTTCCTTTAAAGGGAAAGAGGTTGCACTTCGAATAAGCTTGCAAGTATGTTCACCAGGTCGTTGTAGTCATTGGACTTCCTCAAACGCAAGTGAGATAGCTTAGAAGCGGTACCTTTACGACGAGCGGTAGGTAGAGTGTGCAACTCAGCACAACAGCAGCAAATGTTTGAGAGCCGAATTCTGCGAAGAAGCTGGAGTGTGAAGTGCCTCATTTATGGCTACTCAGGAACCAGAAAGCATGCCACATTTTCTTCTCGTAGCAGATCTGATCTCATCCCCAGTTACGACTTAACACAAAAGTACTACCAGTACGAGAGAACCAACAAAGGTGCATAAGTATTGACGAGTGTGGAGGAGTTGTAGACCGATGGTAGTGTTGTTTGGTGTTTTCCTTTTGCTACGTGTTAACACGTATCAAACTCGACGAACAAAACTGGTTGTACAAATCCAGGCACTTCACCGCAGCTCCATCAGTTTGCAAGTAGTACCTGACACTAAAATCGTAGTAAACAGTTGACGTTAGTCTTCTTAGAAGTCATCGCCGCGCTGATGTGGACTAGGTGAGCCTAGTGTATTACGGGCCGAATTGGTATTATCCACTTCGGTTTGATGTTGTTTACCTAGCTATGCTTGTCACATTGGCATATAATGTTTCAGAACATACCACAATGAGGTGTAAACCGCTTTGAACGTGAAAAAATTCTCAAGCGCGCATTTGCAATAACTTCTGTTAAAACATAATAAAACCTCATTTGTTACCTGCACTGAGGCAGTAGTTCATGCAGATATCCTTAGACGAGAAGTGGTTGGCGCTTGTGCGACACCCATGGTATTTCACCGATCTGCACTCTCTCGTGCTTGGATCAAACGAGAATCTCCAACAATCATAGTGATCAGACACAACTAATATTTCATCTTATTAAGATTGCAGCTACCTTATCGTGTTTCTTCCACAGTCGGATTTTCCATCGTAAGTTTGTTGACATATGAATTTGCGGGTTGGACAACACAAATGAACTTTCTTCGTTTGGTCGTAAGTCTCAAATTATTCATAAATCGCTGTTCTTTTAAATACAGCGACAAAAGGGAAATGGGTAACGATAAGCCTCAGAATACGATACCTCTGCAGATGGACGATTAGGATGTAAGCCAGATCTCCTAAATCTAGTGATCTGTAAGCATTCGTGGTCTGCAGGACACTTCGTATCAGAAGAGCATTTCAACATCGCACCTTTTAAGTACTGGTAGGAGCCAACGCCACTTGGACATAACAATTCTGTAATCCAAGATTTGAAATATCTCTAATGAAATCAGAAATACTAGAAGACTTTCGAGTCCATCTCGACTGAAGCAAACTTTCCAGAAGATTGCGCTCACCTGGCTTAGAACAGTACTCCATGCAATGTTGTTGAGTTGGAAAATTGTTTACGTTGCCGCCACAGCCGTGAAAAACAAAAGAACGACACCCGCCGACAGATCCATCGAAAAACCTTAGCCAGTGTTTGGATTCTCGTAAAGCTGTCCAACCTACGAAGAGACACTCACCATCGTAAAGACGGCTTCTGATCGCATGGTTTGCCTTTATCATGACCAAGAGAACAGATGTATTCTAAAATTATTCTAAAGTTTAGAAGTATGTGCTCACTATAACCCTCAAGGTCTCAAGGTAGTTGTGCTTTCGAAATCGGTCGACAGTGAACGAAGTTTTCTACTCCAAATTTTGCAATGTTCGTTTAAAAGGTGATTTAGAAATGGTCATTTCTTGAAGGATACGATGCTTTTGGTAAAATGATTCCGCATTGTCATGTTTTGCATTCTCGACCGATAAACGTAAAATTAGCAATGAACAAACGAGTGCGTAAGAAATTCTGAAAACTAGGAAGATAGTTGACCTTCAAAAGAATGTTATTCACTTGCATGTTCTAAAACGAAGTTGGGAATTGAAGAAAAGATGTTGTATGAAGGAGATCACGCACTTAGTGAGCAGTTTTATCCCTTTGGTGGTGAAAAGGAAAGTTCCAACACGCAAGAACGCAGTTATGAAAATAATGGAGCGAAATAAAAGGGATAACGCTTTCGAAGTTGACCAATCCCTGAGGGATGCGCCACGCATTCGACTTCATTAAGCTCCTTTGGATGTGATTGAATGCATATCTGGCCTTTACAATGACTCGTGGTGACCTATCGATGTATCCAGCCAGTGCTGCTATCCTCCCAGACAAGTCTAGTACCAATTTGTCGACCCCGGAGAAATGGAAGGCTTGGTGGGCCATAGGCGCGGGGATCGATTCCAGATGTGTGTTGCAGGGCGCCTCCGACTATTGCGCCACATGCGCCCTAGAGAACGAAATAAGAACAAGAGAATTAAAATGGACCAATATCAAGCAGAACAACGGAAAGCATTTGATGGTCATAAAAGAGTTCCTCTAGATTAATGGTACCTAAAGTCGGACAGCATCCGTACGTCCTTCCGTCGAAATGGCACTCATAGTTTCTTGGACATTCGTTTTCAAGAAGGTCTATCGAACATTTCTGCGGCATGCCTGCCAACCTAAGTGCGTCACCAAGCGGACACTGAGGAATAACTGAAAAAGAACAGAAAAATTCTAACATTCGAAATTGTACCAGTAGTAACATCGTCGCATTAGTGACAGCCTTACCCTCGACACCTTCACAAAACTGCTGACAACTCTCCAGTGAGGGAAAATTGTTCAAATTACCCTGGCAACCGCTGTATAGAAACAGCTGACAACTGGAAGAGGTCGAGTTGTACCAAAATCGAGAAACCGGAGATACCAGGCAAGCCACTCCTTTCATCTGCGGTTGGTTGCACACAATGCCTGCAATGGTATGACATGAAAATATCTAGAGATCTAAGCGCACTAGTCACTATCAGCAACTCCCACTTTCAAAATCGCTACATTGAATGTACAAATCATTTTGAAATAAAAAAAGGCAGACGTAATAAAGCAGACAAAAATTCAGCGACAACATTGTGATCACGTATCCCACGCGCCCCAAAATCATGCAATATTATCAATCGAAAACCAGAAGTAAAAGTAATTGGCATAAAAAGGTCGTAAAAATGTGCCAACGTGCCACTGTAGATGGTTTCCTCGTGTGCGTTAACCCTTGAGAGCACTGAAAGCCACCCATAAAATTACAGCTGCTATTTATTAAGACCCCTCCCAACGGTTTACCGGCTCTTCGTGGCTATGAGGAGTTCTTGGGTGTCGGACTGCGTTGTACAGCGAGGGGATTCATCACCTGGTAAGGTCTCCGAGGTCAAGAAGGAGTCCGGCGTTTCCATTAGTAAACCTAGCTAAGAGTAAGCCAATAGCAGGATCCACCACCATCCTGGTATCAAAATCGCATGGTGGCAGATCTCCCTCTGATCCACAAAGGGGCGACTACCTGTGGTGGTGACGAGCTGGGGCAGACTTTGGCCGGGCTGACCACGGAACTTCAGGAAACCACAATGGCTAACTCAACAAAACTCCGAAAAATGGAGATTACGTTGGGCCCGCACAACCAGTGAGGATGGGTCGTCTAGGTATCCAAATATTTATTAAGACCACATGCGATTGGAAATATTCATTTGTTCCGAAAAATTTAGATAGAAGACAGTAGAGTATCCATTAATTGATAACAAGCCACTGAGAATCGCTCGCAGTGGCCTAGCTATCACAAAACACCGATCATTTTTTCTCTGATTGTAATAAATGACAAGAGTGGTTTCATTCTTGGACTTTGAACATGAATTAATGAAAATTCTGAGCGGGTAAAGTCCAGTAAACGAGCTTGTCTGCTAGCCAACAGCTCGATGATTGCCGTAAAACGTGGTGATAGTGCGATGCGGAATCGAACCAATAGAGGAGTGCGGATATTTCAAGGAACTTCTAACCAGTACGCTACAGGTGTCCCATAAAACTCAACGACGGAAAACGATTTTGACTGCATATAAAGGATAAAAGGATAAAGACCTTAGCGCTGATCAATCCCTGAGGGATGCGCCATGCAATGAACTTCATTAAGCATCGTATGGAGGTGATTGAATGCATATCCTTGACAATAACTCCCGGCGGCCAACCGATGCATCGGGCCAGTACTGCTATAGTCCAAGACATGTGTGGTACCAATTTGCCGACCCCGGAGAGATGGACGTCCTGATGGGCCATGAGCTTGGGCATCGATTCCACGTATGTGTTGTAGGGGGCCTCCGACCACTGCGCCACACGAGTCCTTGACGACTGCATACACAAGGAAACACTGAGGCTGAATAAATTCCTTTGCGTAAATTCGGTCGTTAATCAGTTGCTACTGCCACAATGCCTGAGTACGTCTAAATCGCAATTATTCGCTGAATTAGCTAAATGTCCACTTTTCTGAAGATCATTTTCACTTCATTACATAGGGGCTTTCCGATTGCGGTTGTTGGAACGAATGAAAGACTTGACAAATCTCATGTTTTTACCTGAAAAAAACTTTTCTCTGGAAATGTCAGAAAACAAACTTGGAATTGGACAGCATCTTCCGTAATGACATGAATGAGACAGTGGACAGTGAATGGACGAGTTGCATAAAGCGAGTGCATCCGACAATGGAGAGCCCAGTGGACACACAGCTGAAACCATACCGAAAATGATGGTGTAAAAAATGCTAGGTCGAGATTACGCCCTTAGATATTAGTTCTCTAAAATTCATACGAAGAATACGAGTTAACCTAGCAGTTCCATTCTAAAAACAATAGTGCTCCACTGACCGATGGAACAAAAATTGCTACAATGTTCTTTTGTGAGAAAGTTGTTGAAATTTCCTCCTTGTCCGAAGTAAACGAAAGAAAAACATTCGTTTTTATGACGATCCCAATACCACCTACACAAAGCTGGTTATGAACAACATAATAATGAAGGCTTTCGAACAGACTTCCGAACCTGGTTGATGGACTTTGTCCTTCTCGCTGGGATCCAGATGAATAGCCTAAGCCATTAATGGGCGAACCGAATTTTTCCAAATTAAATGTGGTACCTCCCCATTCACTGCAGATAAACTCTGTAAATAACAATGTATAACTTTTATCTACTGCTCATTATTATTTTTTCACGACAGAACATTATGTGAAATACAACCACAATGATGCTGAGATATTTGAAAACTTGGACCTCCAGACCAGATAGATCCGTAATTAACCTTTTCGAGGGGTCACACGTTTTCGCACGGCACCACAGAAGCCCTCGCTCTGTCTTTGTCTAACCCACTCTTTTTGCTTTGACGGTGTAGCAATCACCATCAGCAATCACCCGTCAACGGGAAAGGGCCTTAGTGGTGCCGTGCGCAACGTGCGAGCCCCCGAAAAGTTAATCACTGTTGTATATAGTCCAGAGTCCAAGTTTTGCAAATATCTCTGCGTCATTTTGGTTGTATCTCTGTAAATCATCCTAGCATCCAATAAGTGATTAATCTCCTGCAAAAGAAAAAGTTTTTCCAGCGCCAGAAAAGCGATCTACTTGTGTGAGCCAATGCGAGGTTGGTATAAGTTGTATCGTTGCTGTTGTTGTTGTTGCTGTTGTTTTTGTTGTTGTCATCGCTGTTGTTGTTGTTGTTGTTGCTGTATTGTTGTCGTTTGTCAACGGCTGACGTTTCCGCAATTTCGTTTCAGTCTACTTGTTTGTTATCATGGGTCGGCGGATATGTGAACAACCACTTAAAATTGATCGTCTCATTATGGCCATTTACAGTTTTCGTCGAAGTGGAAATTATATCCTAGCACAAAAACTAATCAACAGTAGGATTAGAAAGACCAGCTCCAGCTAAATTATAAACGCTCGGGCTCACCGAACTGGCAAGGTTCATAAGTACAAAGTACCGCTACTGACCGCGGCTTGGGCAGCATTGATATTCAACGCCAACACGAATGCACTGGAACCTTTCCGAGTCACAATTTCCTGCTCCAGGAAGACACTTGTTATCATCACTTCTTTGAAATAGCATTGAAGAACTGCCTGAAGTCTGTGGCATTCCGCGCGGACACGCTGCAATAAATTGGTAAAAAGTACCTTCACAAAGTGCATTAGTGTTTAAAAAGAAATGACCATAGATTTATTCAGAACCCACTGTTAACACAATATGACTTGCAGTGTTCCTCATTCAAGAAATTATTGGCGTTTCCGCCAACACCCGAGAACTGGAAAGACCAACAAGAATGCGATATTGGGTCATAATGCCAACGAGTCGTCGTAGAGTTCAGCTTTGCGAAATCGCCAGTGTCTAGTGGTTGAATACATACCATCGCTGAAAATTTAATGGATCTATGGAACTCCGCCTAGTTCAAGACGTCCAGGCAAACCAGTTGACTTACTTTGATAATGCTCGCTTTTTTATTTACTCTCTAGTACTATTTTTCACGACAGAGTATTATATATGATACAACCACAATGATGTCGAGATATTTGCGAAACTCCGGACCGCAGGTGTTTGCTGTGGGTAACGAAAGCGCTATTGTCTTTTCCGGGAAGTAACGCGTTCACTACCACACCATACGAGTCCCTTGTTTCACCTGTCTTTCAGTTAGTTCTGTCGATCACTGCCAACAGCAATTACCTGTCATCGGGATTGTCCTGGGGAGCCCAAATCGGCAATGACTCCAGTTAAGCTGAGGCTGCAGTTACAGTCACAATCTTAACCATTTTATTTACTGCCTACTTTTTTAATGACAGGGTGTGTTGCGAAATATAACTTCTATGATGCTGAGATAACTGCAAAACTCCGGGCCGCAGTGTCTGCGGTGGGGAACGAACGCGCTATTGTCCTTTCCGGGGAGTAGCGCGTTCATCACCACACCATGTGGGTTCTTTGTTTCTCAGCTAGTTCTATTGATCAGTGTGCCATCAGCAATCACCCGTCTGTAGGATTGATGTAGGAAACCCAAAGAGGCAATGTATTGTAATTTTTCATGACAGGGTTATACGTCGTCGTCGTGTATTTTTGAGACTGAAACGGATCTAATACTACATGTGAGCGATAACAAACGAGTAGAGTTTTGTATGTGAAAAGGGACCAATACGTGTCTTTTTCTACAGCTCGAAAATGAGATTGAGGTGCTTTGCTGTGATACCTTCAACAAAGCTGGAAAGATGACCTCTATGGTAAGGTTGGCCCCAAGAGAATGTTTTTGATATTGTGATTGCAATAATGACTCATAACGAGATAAACGGACTGGAATGGGATGAATTATTGAGAGTTTGTCGACGTTTATTGCAAGGACCACGACTACCATAGGAACTAACAGTTTTAAAATACCACCGTTCGACGCAGAAACTCTCAGTGGGAATGCAGCAATGAAAGGTTGAGTCTATTCGGCTTCGTTACTGTGTTGTTTGTCTGTTTTGGGTGTCTCTCATGAACCATACCGCAAATTCGCATCTGGAACCTCATCATTGTGCGATGAAATTACCGCTGACATAAAAATGGGGTCTCGAAAAGGAATTTCCATCTTGCTGAAATTATTTATAGCAACTCACTAGAACGTCGCGTGAAAAATAGAATAGGAAAACATGTGAGCGAAAATCGATGGCCTACAGTTATAACCAATTTTTTTTACATGAGCCGTCATTCAGTCATCTACTACGCTCATCTCAGCACTTTCTGCATTTGATTCGTGACGCTGCTTGAGAATCTTCCTTTTGCCATGAATGTCGTTGAGTTCTAGTCGAGCCGATTCTCTCCGGAGTCTTGAGATAACTAAGCGAGGGCGTTCCTACTTGGATTGCAAACAGTGGACTTTTCCCAGACTAGTGCAGCACCAATTTCTGGACCCCGAGGGGCGAAGGAGTAGGTGGGCCAGTGGCAGGGTCGAGCCAAAATCGTACTCGTGATGGATCGGCATCACTACCACTGCCAAAGTCAGTTTACGGCCTCTGCAGCTCTTCATCCTTTGTGTGGTTCTTCCTATGCATTATTTTATGTCCACTGAACACTGCAAACAAATGTAAGATGCGCTACTAACAATAGAAGTATCTCCACTTCGACTTCTTTATCCTCGTCCGTTTCTCTTGAATGAATTTTCTCCTTGACTATCCGCGAATCCTTCTTTGCGTTTCGTGGAGGTCCTTGAGCATTACTGCTGCCCCAATGTCTTTTCAAAAGATGATGTCACAGGGAAGGCGAGGCTCTATGGCAACTTACCACTATTGTGTATATCCTTTTCATTATAGATTATGGATCGCATGTAGCGCAGTGGTTAGAGACACCCTGCAAAAGATATAGAATCGATTCCGCGCCCCAGGTTCACCAAGGCCTCATCCCTCTGGGGTTGGCAAATTGGTACAAGACTTGTGGCAGGGTAGCACCACTGGCTCGATACATTCTAACGATACTAACCGAGGTCGACTTTATGGCACACCCCCACAGACTGATCGGCGTCCAGTGTTTTATCTCTTATCTTTTTTTATCCTTTTCATTTCAATTGAACGACTTTATCAACCAGCACAATACAGTGGTACAGAACTTGGGCGACACGACGTGACCATGTATACCACTTTTCTTATGGCGACGGCTGGGTATTGATGAAGGAACCGCATTTTCGTATTTTGATTGCGATGACAGTCAGCTCTTCGAACCTTAAGTCCCAAGTGTTGAGATCCCTTCGGCTACCTCTCTTTAGCAAGACAAACGTGAGGGAATTCTCTCCCTTCTCAGAGATTACTCCGTTGTGAAGATTCTTCGTTATACGAAATGTGGTAAGTTCGTCACTTCTGTAATAGCTCGAAGTCCAATGTTAAGTTCTCCGGTTCTCAATCTGCACTATCTTAATGCTCTTCACGAATTTCGATCTCCAAGCGAAGAAGACGGAATGGTTTTTCTTCATCAGGAATTTGGGGCTTTCAGACAGTGCCTCTGAAATGGACAAGACTATGGAACAACCTTTCTTTACTTCACTCTCATTTCGGCACCCTGCTTCAATTTTCCCGCTCCATCATCGGCCTTCCATACTGTGGTGTTGAAGCTATAACGAATTTGTAGAATCTTCATTGAAGATCATTTTGTCTAATGTGAGATTATAGGAATATAAGATGACAGAAGCAATCGCATAAATTTTGAAGCATTGATTTGACCTTCAATGCAGTACCATATGCATTGTTTCGAAAGGATCGCAAATTTGTGCACTATAAATTGTCCGAACCTCTGGATGGACAGCATAGTCCACCGATACAATCGTGCACCTCTGGAAAGTCATCACATCCTATAAATCTCCATGTCTGTACCTGAAATTAACCAATATTCAAAAATTTCTGAGAGTACAGACGACGACAAATGAGTGATTTTCCTTCGAGTGTAGCAAAAAACACTTTGATGGAGTGTTCGTATTCCTGTTGTAGAGAAGAGGATAGCGGCCGTTTGTAGGACATTCCCCTAAATCATCAGGATCATCAACAGTTCAGTAAACATGTTGTTACCCAAATTGATAATATTAAAATATGGCAACCTGCAGGAATCATTTTTATGTAACATAACCACTGAGATAAAAATGAAACTGGGAAATCGAAAAATTAGGCATAACTGAAGGTTGTCGAGCACCACCATCTTCCACGTGGAAAAGCATGCTTCTAGTTTAACATCGGGAAGATGAAAATCGTTTAAAACGTGTTTTAACCTGATTCTTTATTCCGAAGCTTCATATCTAAATGTTTCAACTACACGAATCTAGATCACTAGGTCAAGCTCAGCAACAGCAAAGGAACAGAGCCGAACAGGACAAAGAACACGATGTGAGATTTTTTGCCGAAGCGCCATTAAAACGGTGAGAGAGTCTTATAAGTGGCCTGACTCGGTTTTATCTCATCGATACCTCAATGAATATCGCTTATATATCAACAAGTGACTTAAAAATGTTTCTACTGCCTAAGCGGTGCGTAGAGGAAAATTGGCAAATGTTATCATCAATTCCTCCCAACGGTTTACCGGCTCGTCGTGGCTGGAAGGTGTTCCTGGGTCCCGGACCACGATGTACAGCGGGGCATTCATCCCCTGGCAGGGTCTAGCAAGTTGAGAAGGAATCCGGCGTTTCCATCACGATGCCTAGCTAAGAGTAAACCAATACCAGGATGCACCACCGCCCTGGTATCAAAGTCACATGGTTGCAACCTGGAGCAGACTTTGGTCAGGCTGAGCTAGGAAACCATAATGGTTTAATCAGCAAATCTCCGAAAAATGGAGATTATGCTGGGGCCCGCGCAACCAGTGACGACGGTTCGTTAAAGTATCAAGTAAGTATCATCAATCACACTGCCGAGAAGAAAGTTTGGTGCTAATCACGCCTGCTGACCAGTTCCAAGTAATCCAAATCCGGACCTCTACTGATATCGGAAAATAACGTGCTTTATTTTAGAAACCACAGATCGACTAAACATCAAGCATTGGATAAAAACCACTACTGGCTGAAATCTTAGACTTTTATGGGAAAACAGATGCGATCATCACTTGAAGAATCCATGAAGAATTCCATTACTTGTCTTCCTTAAGCAAGACAAATTCGTAAACCAAGGCTTGAACTGCAGACGCCTAGAGCTACCCGACTTATTCAAAGATCACGGTAATAGCGCTTGGCAAAAATATTGTTATTGACCGTTTCGTAGATGATTTTAAAACAGAGATTAGGAAAAATGCAGTGAAAACGACCTGCACGATGGCACACGGTGCCGTCCCTAGTAGGCGCACTTTGCATAGATGTCGGGCACTTGCACGTCCTGAACTGGCATGTGCTTTCAGGCCACGCAGCGGCGCATTGGGCGTCATACGTGCAACCGAATTCTTCCGGCCAGATTTCTACGAAAATCAATTTTTTTCACCAACTTGCCATCCCAATTGCCTTCCAAAACAAGTTCTATCCGAAAAAAACTTGTCCCCTAAAAGCAAAATTTTGGGACTCTTTAGCTCTGAGACTGAAGATTTTGAGACAAATATTTTTTTTAAATCACATTTTGTTGGTGTTTAGATTTTCGATGAATAGCGAGCGTTTAAGTTAAGTAATTTGCTGACAACAATGCTCCTTACGAAAAGATATTAAGATATAAAGCAGCCAGCAAGTTTAACTATTTCAACCTGGCATGGACGGATTTGAGATCGTATTTAGGCGCTGATCGGCCGCCGTGAATTGACATCAACTCGTTTTGCTTATGGTCATTTATTTCGCAGTTCAGAAGTTTGTTTCCATAGTTTCGAACTGCACTATGAGTTGAAATTGAATAGTAATCTGACCCAGACCACCGAACTGGGGATCAAACCTGAAAACCCATTTCGAACATCTGACAATTTACAAAAAACCGTCTTCTCGAAGGACTTTTGCCGCGAGATACTGTTGCTTGTGAAGAGAACACCTACTACTAAAACCGTCACCATTGAGGAGGGAGCACAGGCGTTCCTGCTGTACCTTAAAACTTGGATTCGACACTTAGGGACAGCTTTTTACTAAGATAAACCGCTGAAGAGAACCGCATAGATGTAAGTACAGTAAAGTTCTATATCCACGTCACTATAGCCACTACCTGTAAAAGTGCTAGGTGTTAAACCATATATTTCCACATAGTGTGTCTTATTTCCAACTCTTGTTATTGTACCACAACAATCCACTAATGTTGCAAACACCAAAGGCGTTTATTATGCAATCTAAAATTCTAGCAACTAGCACATTTTACACACCGCTTGTAATCTTTGCAACCTGAGACCTCAACGATTAACACTTTTATTAAAATGTTTTAACTTTTATTTTCTGCCTACTACAATTTTCACGGCAGGGTAGTTGCTGAGATATTTGCATAACTCTGGACCGCAGGTGTCTATGGTGTGGAACAAACACGCTATTGTCCTTTCCGGGGAGTAACGCGTTCACCACCACACCATGCGGGTCCTTCGTTTCGCCTGTCTCTCAGGTAGTTCTAACGATCTTTTGCTATCAGCAATCACCCGTCAACGGGATTGATCTGCGGAGCCTACATCGGCATTGAAGCCAGTTAAGCTGAGGCCGTAGTTGAAATCACAATGTTTTAGCATTCATTTTCTGCCTACTACAATTTTCACGGCAGGGTACTTTTATTAAAGATCGATAGAACTAGCTGAGAGACAAGCGAAACGATGGATCCGCATGGTGCGGTGGTGAACGCGTTACTCCCCGGAAAGGACAATAGCACGCTCGTTCCCCACCGCAAACACCTGGGGTCCGGAGTTTTGCAAATATCTAAGCATTATAAAAGAACTTTCATTAGTGGTTATAATGTTGATCTTACACGAGGTTGATAGAGATGTTTATTGGCCTAGCGTTTCAACGTCTCCGTCTTCATCACAGTCCATAACTGTGGACTATCGACTCGGATCATCGGCTCTGATGAAGACGAAACCGTCGAGACGTTAGCCGAATAAACATCTTTATAAACCCTCTGTAAGCTTAACAATACAAACACGTGTTGATTATTTTACTACCGAGGTTAAATGACGGTCGGTTTCAAAATTACTTCTATTAGTTATTATTGAAGTAACCTATACAGAGCTAGTTGTTGCAATGGCTGCACTTAGTGTTGATCTGCTAGGTACACTTGAATTCGCGGAATTCTTAAGAAGCATACGGTATCCGTGCAAGCACATGGACCTAATTCTTTTGGTGTTTATTTGCAGATAACTGAACAACTGAATCTCAGATAAAAATCCCACTTTTCTTCGTTTGCGGCGCGGACATTGGCCCTTATTGGACACTTAAGCGTTTCTTTTCTTCATGTCACAATTGTCACGAACACCGAGAAAATCTCAGCACACTTTCGCACATGAGAAATCGAAAGCTTTTGTTCAGTTTTTGTCCAGCTTCTGGATAAATCAATGAAACTACAGATCGTTTCCATCATAAAGTACGGCTACGACTTATACACAATGAAAAGTACTATTTGCTCACCACCCCCCACCTCCCCCATTGCGTCACATTTCTCTCTGGGAGGGAAATTCTTCAGCAAAATACGTCTCATATAGTACTTACCTCATGAACTTTAACGGGTTTACAAGAATGCACTTTTGATCGTATAGCTAAAGAGGAATAGATCATAGAGAGAAAAGAAAAACACTGATCACTGATCCTGTGGAAGAGAAGAAACCGTATTGAGCTATAAATGGAAGGCAAACAATGATGAAGTGGAATTCACAGAGGAAGAGGATGTAGACAGTCTTAACCACTGTCTGAATGGATGCTCTTGTTGCCGAAACTGTTTCTTCAAATGAGATCTGTTAGAACTACAACTGTTACAAAATACGTACTCCTCCAACAGAATCCTTCAATGGCAATGTGTGTAGTCCAACAAGTGCATCTCCCCATTGAACAATACGAGCCAGACACACATTCATTGTTGACTGAACACGAATCGCCAACCAGCGATGATCCTGAGCCATGCAGAAATACCAACTTTTAAAAAGATAGTCTTCGATCAACCGGAATTTCTCCTAATTTGTTAAACGAATTACTCATCGTTGTTTAGAAAATACATGTGTTCTTGAATATCAATGGCTGATAATCAATAAAAACCCGGTTAAATATATTCTGGAAGGAAACTATATACAAGAATCATTACCAGTGATGTTCGATTTTAGTCTAGTGATGATCATTATCACTACAGTAACCCCAAAATCAGCAATGTATCCATAACAAAATTGATATAACCAGGTGTTAAATATGTCAACGTGCCTTGTAGATGCAGGGAACAAAGTGCGAATTGCAAAGATGTCGCCGGAATGACGAAGAAAAGTGGAATCATTATCGATGGCTGCTTTCTCGGAGATATATGCTCCTAGTTGTCAAGAAGCCGTGCAAATAAGCGAAGATCTGGAGAGTGGGTCAACCGGGTCCCAAGACCCTTGTCAAGCACACCACCCACGGTGAGTAGACGTGACCTGTTCAGGATAGTCCAACAACGAGCTAGACATTCCTTGATCCATTGCTCACCTGTATTGATAAATGAGTTATGCCTTCAAGAAACACTGCAAGAACATTCGCACTCAGTTTGTTCACCCCACAGTAAGCGTGTCGTGCAACGGAACACGCTTATCTATTCGTCTTACAACGTATTTCACTACAGTAGTGCAATTGCTATAATAACTCTTAATACTTTAGAGATTAACTTATAGGTAAATACATCCGAAAAAAATCGCATAGATTTGAGTGAATGATTCAAAATATGTTACGTCCTGAAAAACGTTAACTGAGCAGGGAAGTTAAAGGATAAAGGATAAAGCATTCCGCGTTGACCAGTCGCTGAGGTATGCGCCCTGCATTCGGCTTCATCAAGCATCATTTGAGGTGACTGAATGCATATTTGGCCTTTACAATGACTCGCGGTGGCCTACCGATGTAAGCCAGTGCTGCTATCCTCCAAGACAAGTCTGGTACCAATTTTCCGAGCCGGGACTGATGGGACGTTATGTGGGTAGGTATGTGAGCCCGGCGTGAGGGTCGAATCAAATACCATGTGTGCACCTGTAATCACTGCGTTAGGCGCACTGAGCCAGGGCGTGCTGCTCATAGGAACTCCTTTGATTCGGTGTCAAATACGCAATTCTTCATCATTATATTGTGTAAGGCTTTATTTGCCACAACGCTTGGTCTGGGGGCGCATCCACAGGTGGTGGATAGGAGATTAATCACGCACAAAAAGCGACTTTGTGCTTCTTTGAGAAGCTGTTGGATCCATGGAATCGGTTTCCTTTTTCTGCCGCGCCAATTTGGCACACACCTTTTGTATTTACGAGGAAAAATTCATGCAAACTTGTGTGGGAGTGTTCTCGTTTATGCAAATTGTATTCTACGAGTCAATTTGGCCCAATCAAATAACAGAAAAGCATATGGGATGCTGTCAGAAGTCGCTTCCAACAAATAAACTTCTCCTCTTCTTTGGAAGAGACGGGAAGCTATCCATCAGTATGCCCTGCCTCACGTTCAGGTCTGAGCAAGGTATATACATGTGCATGAAAAGACGAGAAGACGCCAGCCTTTCAACGCTGTCTATAACACCGGAGAAGAACTGTTCCTCGGAACATGCGACAGTAGAGTGGTCGGCGGCGTCGCCGTTCTCGTCAACAAGAGTTTGTCCATGAACATCGATTCATTCGAACAGCTTACAATCCGAATCGGACGTTTACTATTAAAAAGATGTGGATCAATACCGGCTTTGACAATCTTCGTCGTTTACGCGCCGGCATCAAGCCACTGCAAAGACGAAGTTGAAACGTTCAGTACGGACTTGGAGTAGTTCTACAGAGAAGACCATACATTCTTCAATGTCACCATCGGCGATCTTAACCCTGAGAGTGGACCTAGAAGAACGCCCGAAAAAGCCGTGATGGGACCAACGGATTAGAATGGAGTGATTAAGGAGAGCGGCCGTCTGAGTTTATTTTGACGACCAAGACCATCCACAGTGACTGGCAATTCCAGAAGCCCTACTGCCAACGCTGAGTGTTAGAGTCTCCCAATAGGGAGTAGCATAGCGAAACACTGCACATCATAGCAAATCGGAGGTTTTGCCTAACCAATGTCACTGTTGTACGCAAATTCTACACGGGATCACACCACCGCCTCTTTCGTGCAAAATTCCATTTGTCACGAAAGGAGAAAAAGCCGCTAAATTCGAAAAACCAAGTCCCAAAACCACCATAAGCTGAGACTTATTCAATTCGCTAGTTGGTTATTGGCAAGAAGCCGTTCTCGATAATATTGAGAGGAACACGAAGGATAATTCGACGTCTTCACGTGGGCTCTACGAAAGCTAAGAGTTCGAAAGCCACCAAAAGACGTGTCTCCAGAAACACTCGAGCTAATACGCCAGCGTAGAATCGCATGAGCTGCCGATAACCGTCAACTGACGTCCGAGTCTGCAAAACAAGGTAGACAGGCGATAGAAGAAGATCTTAAAGAGTGAGAAGCAGTAGTAATGTTCGAAGCTGCACAGGTTGGGAAAAGCATTCGCAGAGCCCATTGAAGTTTCGACATTTACATGACCAAGGTAGCACTCCCACGCCCAGACCGACAGTTACAGCTTCCGGAAAGGCAATGGAGAAAATCATTCACGACTACTATTCAGATCTCTTCGATAGCCACGTCCACCTCCCGTCATATGAAATAAAGGAGGATGGTTATGTTGTGCCACCGGTTCTCGCTTCTGAAATCCGACATACCATCTCGTCGGTGAAAAATCGAACAGCACCAGGTCCGTACAGGATAAGACCAGAACACCTGAAGAACCTTTCGCCAGTCCTCGTAAACACACTGGCTCTTCTCTTCACACGTTACCTGTCTGAAAGCAAGGTACCTACTCAGCGGAAGACCAGCAAGACCGTGTTATTGTTCAAGAAGGGTGACCCACGCGATATCGGCAACTATCGCCCAATCTGCTTGCTGTCTGTCATCTACAAACTTCACTCGAGCCATTCTAAACGGGAGTGACAGAACACTAGACGAAGGAGAGCCATGTGAACAAGCAAGGCTTTAAAAATGGATCAGCACAATGGATTAAATCCACAGAATAACAAGACTAATTGAATTACCAAAAGAGTATAAGAAAGAAATGCTTAGTCTCACTTTCATCGATTTAAAGAATTCTTTTGACTCAGTTGAGATAGAAGCAGTCATGGAAGCCCTGAACAGCCTGGGCGCCCCTACTCAATGTGTAATGGTTCTTCGTGAGCAACATGAAAATTGTACAACAAAGGCATCACCATTTCAACTTATTATTTACTGCCTACTCCTTTTTTAATGGCAGGGTATATATCGAAATATAACTTCAATGATGCTGAGATATTTGCAAAACCCCGGACCGCAGGTGTATGCGGTGGGGAACGAACGCGCTATTGTCCTTTCCGGGGAGTAGCGCGTTCACCACCACACCACACGGGTCCTTCGTTTCGTCTGTCTCTCAGCTAGTCTCTCAATTCTATCGATCTTTTGCCATCAGCAATCACCCGTCAGCGGGATTGATCTGGGGGACCCAAATCGGCAACGAACCCAGTTAAACTGAGGCCGCAGTTATGATAGAACTAGGTCGAGAAAACAATATGATGAACGACCTAGCTCCAGAGCTGAGCAGAAGGAAACGAGCGGCTTGGGGAGCTTTCAAGAGCATCGAGGATGTAGTGAAGAGAACAAAGAACACCCGACTCCGTGCCCACCTTTTCCACTAAACAGTACTTCCTGCCTTAACGTATGCGTCATAAACCTGGTCGCTGCGTAAGCAGGATGAAAGGTCACTCAGCGTTATCGAGCGCACAGTCGAAAGGACAATGCTAGGAGTATCCCGTTCCACATAAGTAAGAGATGGGATCCGTAGTTCCGACCTTCGCCAACGATCAAAAGTCAAAGATGCGGCTCTGTACGCCAAACAGTCGACAAGGTGGGCCGGACACGTAATGCGTACGAAGGACAATCAATCGACGAGAGCCGTTAGTGACTGGATTCCTCGTGATGTCAAACTTAGTCCAGGAAGACCACCGAGCCAACGGTCAGAGTTCTTCACTAGAAATCTAAAAGGAAGGCATGATGCTCAACAAACCCCTGGAGCGAGTAGAACCCACTGAGCTACTCTTGCACGCAAGAGGAAAATATAGAGGATTTCCTTGCCTTCGCTCAAGTCGATCGACGATCAATGGGACGATAGGTGATACACGTGGTGTACGCTACGTCTTTTGAAAATGAGTAGTGAAGGCGGAAATCAGAAAACACGAGCTGAAGATGCTGAAGAAGTTCCGAAGCATGTGGTATAGGCATTTTCGACGAAGAACATCTGCACCTCTTTGGGCGTTAATTTCAACTCCAAGAGAAAACAGTTACAGCACTGATTCACTTATTTATTTCCTTAACTAGTCATTCATATACGTTTTTGTACACCATTCACTACATACAGAGATACGTGCGATGTTATTATTACCCACATAAGAATAACCTCTAGCACCTGTTGTCCGTCGAGTGACTCGCGTGGGTGCCAGTAAACCTCCCGTTTCTCGCTATAGGATGCAAGAGCAGCGCATTGTGCTCTTCTCACTCTAGGGACTCGCTAAGCACCATATTTTTCTTCTGGGTCTTCGTGAAGAGCTTTGACCATCGCGACGGCAGTCATCCTGTTGTGCGTTTGGCATCGCAACAAATCCGGTCGCTTACGCCTCTCGTCATTAGTTGTCGTTTGTGCGCTTTTCGTGCCCAGGCCACCTGGATTTTGACATTTTGGAGTGACTTCGGATCCCTCTCTCACCTGCGTAGTACGGGGTACTTCCAGCATGCCTCTAGCGTCGACCTCGTATGCGCGTTCGCTAACGCTGAGGCTTGATTGTGTTTACGTAGCGACCACGTTTCTAACGCATACGTCAAAACAGGAGGAATTGTCAAGTCGAAAAGATGGATTCGGAAA